CTTAAACGCTCAAAGAAATGTATAATTGACGTGGAATTGGCGTAAAGAGTAAGTAGGTTTTTGGAATGGTAAACATATAATATGTAAAGTGAATATAAAGTTTTAAAATAATAATTATGGTAACGCAGACGAGGTAATGAATTGAATAGGACCCCCGATGGACACACATGAAAAGTACACAAATTTATGTGTTGATGATTTAATAATGGTCTGAGATTGGTTTGGTTTGGTGTGATGAGATGGAGAAAGCAGAGAGGAGAAGGGCAAAGTAAGAGGTAGGAGATGGATTGAAGCATGGAGCTGGACCTACAATCAATAATGCAGAGTGAGTAGTCGAAGAGGTTAGACATGGCATGGTAAAAACACAAACCGTATAGCAAAGGACAATGTTGGAAGATTCGACAAGGTTGCCTTAATGTCAACAAGCTGTAGTCACCATTCCTCAATTCTTCACGTTGTGTAGTGTTGTCTCCCTTTGCATGAACAAAACGGAAGTGAAGGATCAAAGTTCAAACTAGGAATGTGAGAGGGGGTGAAGTGGTGGCCACTACCATCACCCTCTCTCCCAGACAAGATAACTTGGATTCAGCCTCACCACCACCACCGTCCCTCCCCATCACATCACTCCTTTCTGCTCTTCAATTTTCAAATGTGTATTCATAGGCATGGCTAAAGGGTATGTGGACCCTACAAAGGATCCAAACTCTAGGGTTAACACCATACACATTCATCGTGGGGCCACCTTAATATATAACAATAATTCTATACATTTTTTTCTCAGTCTTTCTAATCACTCTTCCTGTTATACTATTCGTTTAGACGTTTGAATGAATAAATGCAGCAGCATAGGAAGACACAACTTTGCAACATTTTTTTCCTTCCGAATATTTAGCATTATCATGAGAGAGGCACATGGAGTGAGTAAATTCATCAGTCTTGGCATGTCACATGAATGATGAGAGAGAGAAGTGACAAGAGATCAACGGTCAAGTTCAGAGATCACATAGAGACAAATAAACAAGTCCAATATCTGCACTGCTATGGCCGTTGGTGGATGCATTTATTGATTGCAGTATTACAAAGAAAATGTTTTCATTCTGTTATCTAAGTTGCAGATGTAAGCCTTGTGTTACTGTAGTTACATCTTTTGTCTTTTTCCATTCTGTGTTAGTGTGACCTTCAGCTGAAAACTCTCCACTTAGAATGGGTCTTTCATTAAGAATACTATTTTTAGTTGTCATTGTTTGCATGTTGGATTCCCATTCATAACTTTTCCATAATTATCATCTGTCAACTCTCATCTATTCTTGTTTTTTCATTACTTTTTTTCCTCTTACATTTTCATGTATTTATGGCATTACAGAAACCTAAAAATGTTCTTTTTCAAAAACTATATATATATAATAATTATACGCAGGCTATTTGTAAGAAAAAAACATTTACCGCACGAAATACCAGAAGTTGTGACCCCAAAATTTATCTATGGTGCATTATCAGATGTACTGTTTATTCCATTCTAGCTCCAACTAGAAAACCTGTTACTTCTACAAAAAGATGAAAATGAAACACCGCCATTTTTGAAAAAAAAAAGTCACTTATAACTTTATAGAAAGATTTTTTGTTTATAATTTATTTATTTATACTAATTCGAACTATTAGCTCCTAAGTTTTTTACTTAATAACTTGATTTGATTTTGACACACTATTAATGTGTGATGATGTGAGTTGTACCCTTTGGAGATATTTAGTGCATGGTTTTGAGAAATCCAAAGTGAACATAGTAAGTTAAGAGCATCTCTAATGTCAATTCTTCAGTGGACTTTAATTGTAAAAGCTACTTCTTATGTGTCTTCTTTTCTGTAACTATAATATATTTTTTCTAACTGATAATTGGGATTATTTTGATGTGTAAAAATAATGTAATTGGTCTTTTTTTAAAAAAAATGGGATCATAAATCCAACCTTTTAATAACTTATTTTCAAAATAATTACATTGTTTAACAATATTTTTATTCAATTTTAATGTTTTTAAAATTAATATTTGGTTTAGAATTAGTACATAGATTATATATAAAAGACGTATATTAATTTAAAATATTTTATGTACATTTATTTAAAAGATATATTTTATTTATACATAAAAAGTAAAGAAAGACACTAAATTTTTAAACATGGTATATATGTTGGGCTCGTAAGAAAGAGATTATATACCTTATAGGTGTTTAAGTTTCCAACTATATTAATCATTATAATATATGTACATGAATTCCTTATTGTAAAGAAATCTAATAATTCAAACATAAGAGATATGCTGTTATTTTTTAGCCTAATTTATTATTTATTTAATTGAATACTAAAACCAATTATAAATTGTTTGGTACATAGAGTCAAGAACTATATTTTCACACTTTTAACTTTATTTCCCCCAAGCTCAAATCAGTTTTTTAGTTATATCCATTGGTAGTCACTGTTAAATTTTAAATAATCAATAAATAAAATCACTTACCTCTTTACTTTACTTTTGTATTTATAAGTTTTGAAATAAACTTTTGAATAGGTTGGTCCAATTACAGTCCAATATCATCTAAGCATAATTTTACCTTGTTAATTAAATTGTGAAATATTTAATATTTAAGATATTGAACGATTATCAAGTCAGTTAATAACCGTTCGACTAACATTATTTTGAGATTACCGGAGTTGACTTTCTATAAATTGATCGATTAGATGACGTAGACCGGCCGTTCTAGACGGATAACGTAGATCGGTAGGTCTATAGTACATAAATGATAATATTTCTTATTTAATTATTATGTTTTAGTTTATTTGCTTTATTCAATTAAAGAAATGAGTAAAATGGTATCTAGGTTGATCATGTAATATTTACCTTTCTCTGTACCATCTAGTTGGGGTTCCTTTGATCTTCCAAGACTAGTTGTGTTTGGAGATGAGAGAGAGTAGTCTATAATGTGTTGGATTAATTGAACATTTGCTATGATATTAAAATATAATTTATGTGACAGATATTACAAAATAATGTGGAAATGTTAACTTTGAATAATATGTAGTAAAGTCCAAAAGCAATTTGAATTGAAAAGTGGTTAGAAAGTGGCAATGAAATAGAAATAGAAATGCATAGTTTTGTTTCCCGTACATGTTTGCCTGACTCCTCCACATGAGGACCTGCCCCTCTGTCTGCTTAAGATGAGATGCTCCCCAAAATCTTTACAAAACAACCAAATTAAGACAAACACCTAACTAAAAAAATACAAAATATATATCACTTTTCTTTCATTTTTCATCACCCAACAAATTACACTAACGTCTTTCAAATTTCATTGGAAGCACCCACGAAGTTCACAAACAATAGGAACGTTCTCACTTTACAATATTTATGGATGATTCCAAAATACCCTCATGATGGATGTACATATACTCAATTCGGATGACTTTAGTATCAGTTTTCTAAAAGGATTTTAAAGTTAAATTTGTTTTATAAAATAAGTTTTACACTTACTTGTTTACAATAAATTCGTTCAATTTTAAATCGACATAGAATCTCTATATTGACTTGCTTCGTGCACACCTTGCTACTACTTGTACGGAACATCTTGGGTTGAGGAATCAGAGACCATAATCACATGGCCCGTTTTACTCCGTCCCTCCTCTCCAAATTTCTATTTCCAAATTTCTTAGCTTTTTTTTTCTAGACAAAACAAGTTTTAAAACGTTAAAGTTTAGATCTTTTATATGCTAACAGCAAAAGTTTTGTATACTGGTTCTTTTCATTCAATTGTTGTTAAAATGATTGATTTTTGTTTCAGGATATAAGATCAAGGTTAATATTTTAGAGAATAGTCTAACATATCCAAAAATTATTTTTTATTTCTAAATCTTTTGTAATGGTTCATCTAAATTCTTTAAAGAATATTTATTACAAATATTTTGATATCAAAATTAATTTAACATTTAATAATTCAGATATTCATTATGTATTACTTGCCATCATCTATTTTTTTATCTTAAACTTATATTTACAAAATTTTGAGTAAACTTTTAATTAATAATTATCTAATTATAATCCAATTAATAATAATATAATTTTATTTAAGTTATTCAGTATTAGAACTAATTTTCTAGTAATTGACCGATCAAATTTCCTACCATTTAATCTTAATGACAATTTGTTTATATATCTGATTAACAGTCTATCATGATTTATTAAACGGTCATACATATAATTGTTTTTTGTTAGAGAGTTATTTGTGATGGTAATGCAACTATCTTGATAAATGTTAAAAAAGTAATAAATAATAAATTCTTTTGGAGTTCAAGAGACTCGTTAATGTCTAATGTCTATGATATTTGATTCAATATAATAGTACATTTTTTTTTTGTTGTTATGATATTGTTGGGAAGCCAACAAAATCCATATCCATTTTTGAAATGTTACTTTGTCATAAAACCTCAGTTTTAAGATAATTTAGTTGAATAGTAATACTATATAATTTCCTTCTCTAAATATGACTGTGAATGGTATAACAAATGGCCGTGCCAAAGTTTCTGTGTATTATGTTGTAATATTTCTTTTTGTGTCAGTATTTTGAGCGTGCAAGCCCCTACATACATTGCATGCATGTCCTTTTCCAAATTCCAAGGAAATTGAGCTTAGTAAAAAGAAGGGTGAACTACATTGAAGTTGAAAATTATAGTGAAAAGATGAGAAGTTCCTCCTAATCCTAAGGTGAGAGATAAGAGGGAATTTGATTTTGAATGGTTCCCCTGTGGTGTGGTGAATCAAATAAATAACCATACAGCAGAAAACACGTACAAGTGTGGTGAGTGGCAGATTCACACGTGCACCCGTGGTGCTCATTTCGAAACACGAGCAAGTATACAAAAATCAAGATATTCATTACACTTCTTCTAAATCCTTCAACATTTATTATCAACTTATACCATATATATATTTATATAAAAAATAAAAGATGATCATCAACTTGTGTAATGTTAAACCTCTTTGATCTATTTTGTGCACTTTGTTTCATAGTACATCGCGTTTCCCCAATCCTTCGTTTTCAACCCAAAAGAGGGAAAAGCAAACCAGGAAAAATAAAAAATAAAAACTGTAGGTAAATTTATTCATCCAGTTTCCCTCTCCCAAGTATCGTGTCTTGACCTGGAAACCGACTGAGCCAGTTTCTCAATCCTCTCTGCAAGTTGAGGCGACAGCTTCTTAACCGGTTTCCGCTCCTTCTCAGGTCGGAAATCGAATCCCAAAGCTTCGGAAACCTCTTCGGAGCTCCACCCCGCTTTTCGGAGCGAATCCGAAAACCTGTCTGCTTTCAGAAGCAGAGCATCCAACAGGGCTTGATTATCCAACACCACCATCTCTCCCTCGAAGAATCCAGAAGCTGAAACCTCAACCATTTCCTTTATATCTGATTCGCTCCAACCACCAGCTTTCAAAACCGACCCGATTTGTCCTATATATTCTTCTACCCAACCCGGGACTTTACTCCGAGGCATCTCGAAAAACCTCTCTGGCGACGAAGACGCTGATAACGACAACAAAGACGACGAAGAGTTTCTCTTCCGCTTATCCGTGGCGGCGTCAGTCCAGAACTCCACCCACCGCGGCGTCCTTCCGCCGGAGTCGAGGCTCCGCCGTGAGAACCCGGCGGAAACAGAAACTCCGGTTGATTTCTCGCTTACGGATCGCTGCTTCTTCAGAAGTATAGGATCCGCTTCGGAGCTCCGGAAGAGCGACTCGCGGTCGAAGAAATCGGAGAGATCCAAGCCGCAGCAGAAGATTCTGTTCTCGTCGACGAAGAAGATGGGGTTTCCAGCGAGGGAGGGATTGGACGGAATGTAGCAATGGTTGAATATAGGAATCAACAGCGGCGCTCTCTTCAGCGCGTTCCGCGCCACTCGCAGGGCCTTCTCCGGCTCACACGGCCTCGGACCCCATGACTTCGACCACACCGCGTTCCTTGCGATCTGGAATGAAATCGCCGCGATCGGAAGGTCCAGCGAGGCGCGCAGATGCAACCGCGCGCCGCCGGAGCGCCAGTCCGGGAATCCCGGACCAACGGGAAGCCCCGCAGCCAGGACGGCGCGGAGGTCCGGAGGGAAGACGAACCCGAACTCCGCCTCGGCACGTGCGAACTCCGCGTCGGAGAGACCATGCTGCACATGTATGCCCGAGTCCCGAAGGTGGTTTATGACTTTATCTGCCAAGGAAGCGAATGAAACGACACCGTTACGGACCGGGACAGACGAAGCTGCCGCTGCTCGGGCCGATAAACGGCGTAGACCGGCTACGTGGGCCGGGTTTAGACCGGTCATCCTCCGGTCCACGTCCACCATTGCGGTTATATCGAAGTGTAGTGATAATTAGTGTGTTTCTCTCTCTCTCTTTCTCTTTGGTGCCTTTCCACACAGAGGACTTCAACTTCCATGCCTCTTCAATTTATAGCATCAAAACGGTGGACCCCACTTCCAGATTTCCTTTCTATTTTTTTTTTTTCTTTTCTTTCTCATAACCCATGTTTTGTCGTGAATGGTAAATAGGAAATTCCAAATTGCAAGGCGTGATATGAATAATAGCTGTTGAGCAACGGTTCATTCAGGAAACACCTGTGAGTGAGTGTACTTTATTTTTATAATTATAAATTATTATAATTATTATTTTTGGTTGTGAAATTGTGTATGTATGTATTCCTTTATTAACGGAACGCGAATTTTCACGGCTGGTTTTTTTGTCAATGGTAATCCCTTAACCTTTTTGATTTAGATTAGTGATGGAGATAAAGAGATTTGGTATTATTGTTTTTACTATTAGGTTTTTTGTTATGGGATGGTTAAGTTGTAGTTTTAGATTATTAGTAAGTATATACATGACTAATGTTTGGCCCACTAGCAATCATGGTTATGTTTGGCCGGGGAACTTAAAGCTAAGCACACAATCATCATGGCACATTGGTGTGTTGTACTCCAACGTTAATCTCTTCCCTTTCTTCTTTTTTTTTCTTGCTTCCAATCTTTTTCTCTTTCCGCCATGGTCGAAGAAACATGAAAGAAAAGTAATATCCAACTAATGATTAGTGATTAAGAATATTTTTCTCTTCAAATTTTCTCCTCTTTTTCCTCTGCCTCCATCCAAATTAATTATCATACCTATTATTTATCAATAACCATTCTCATTTTCAAGTTCAGCCTCCTTTAAGTCAAACATAACTCCTTGCAATTTAGCAAACAAATATTTTACTTATGCTACCGAGATTGACTTCTTTTAAATCCTTTTATGCTCTGTTTCTGACTACACTTCAGTATTTTTTTCCTATCTATTTTGTATTAGAAATACTTAAATTGCCATCCATCTTCTCTTTATTATATATGGTCTTAAATTATAATTTATTAGCAAACCAAATGAAGTTTAGGTTTCAAGAAACAGAAAATTAAATACCAGATCCATAAATTTAACATATCAAATATTCATAAATTCAATATCTTAAAGTTTATGTTTAAAAAAAATATGTATTTGACTAAAAAATCTATAAATTTAAACTTTTGATTAATTATTTATAAAAATATCTTATATCTTAATAAACAAAGTGATTCAACTATTCCTATACAGTTACTCTTCTTTATGTTCTTTAATTTAATGGTCAACTTTTATTTATAGTGTAGTCAGTATATTAAGAAAAAAAGGTCAAGATCAAAAGTAGTTATTAAAAATTACTCTTGGGTAGTTTGATTTTTGTATAAGTAACATAATTCTTTTGGTTTAAATTTACAAGAAGCATCTAGTACAGAGATTGGATATTATTTTTACACTACCTTCACACAGAGTGCTAACAGGGTTTTATATATACCCTGATAGTAAAAGGTTTTGTAATTATTTTGTAGTAAAAACTTTTGAATTGTGAAACAGCAATGTCTTTAAAGACCTATCCTTGGTAAGCAATTAAAGAAATATAAAAATTTAGAAATATTGAATTTAGAAAATGTAATAATTTGGCATAAAAGAAGTAAAGTGTTGGTTAAGGTCAGAAGGTAGCTGCGTCTGCTACCGTTTCCAAGAAGTTCACCGATTTAAGAGCATCGGTGAGAAGTTAGCATCACGCAGCCTCGCTATTAATGTGATGGTTCATCCTAAAAGGTGACATTGTATTTGGATTTGGAGGTTAGGGAGAATAGTAACCTCAACCATTACTATCACTCTAGAGGATGGGGTTGGTTGGTGCATTCACGTGGACCTACTCTTTTTTATCTTCAAATTCTCCACAACCTAATAAATCACCTCCCCTTCCAAAATTTCAGACAACTAATTACGTTCTTTTGATGTCATTTTTAATTAAAGAACAATATAAAACACTTCAAATAATTATAACATCCATGTTTGTTGGAATAATATGCGAGGGCTTACTCTGTGGAGTTTAGTGGAACTACGTTGTCAAACTTGCAAGGAATTGACCGTGTAACTGGTACGTTTTTTTTGTCCAAGCAGTACCCAAAAAGTTTGGGGAATCCTAGAAAATGGCTTTCAAAATAGAAAAAGCGATCAATTTATCTAGTTTTATGATAAAAAAGCCGGCACTGATATTTTCCTTTTGTTATTTTTCTTAACGTCTCTTTATAGCATTGGATGCAAGCACATGATGGCATCCCACAAGCATTTGTGAAAACTTTGATTATGGCCGCCCACACCACTGTCGATCGATTTTCTGTCGGATAAGTAAAAAAAAAAAAGGATGCTTCTACTTAATTGTTCTGTTTAAGGATCATCATCAACGATTAGAGAACAACCTTTGGTCAAACACAGTTACGTGTCGAGAAATCAAGGAAGATGCATTTATTAAGACATGTTACAACGTTTGAGCGAAGAAAGAGAGAAAGAACAGAAAAAAGCACATGCATCCTGTTATATTTCCTGGTTTTATCGTCTTAAACCTCAACTGCAAAAGGTGAATATAGTTTTGGATAAAGTCATATCCCCATCTTCTACTTTTTCTTACTATATGCGTGCAGTGCCCTAAATAAATAGATTTTGTGTGAAGAATTGTGTTCATGGCTGTTTGTTTTGATTTAAATAAGATGCCAAATTGCATACTAACGGTCACTTTCTGAGCCTGAGCACGTGACCGATTCACTCATTTTCCACCAAACTACAATAGCTAATACAATAGCTATAAGCCACCAAAGATATTGGCGCAAACAGAGGAAATTAAGTAAGTAAAACAAAACAACTGTCATGTGAACTTGGCCCAAAAACTTGGACCATTTCCATGAAAGAAAAAAAAAAACAAACCGGTTTCATATGTTACATGATCGTTCGTTGATAAAGGTGATGTTGGGTCAACGACTTTGTGTTACCTATTAATAACATGCACATAATTACTGAATGCTTTTTTTACCCGTTTGTACCAAGAATTGGTTTAATGTTCTTGGAATTTCAGTTATTGAAAAACATCAACTAAAAACGCTTTCTTAACGAGATATAAAAGACATAGACATAGATAATCCAGTTTTATTTCAATAGTCAACTCGTGATTTTTTAAAATGGCAAACAATTTTTAATTTTGACCATTATGGTATTATGACTATGTATGTATTCCTTGCATGACTCAATGATATTTGTTGACACTTTAAAAAGAAAAAATATATATATAAAAAAAATGGTTAGTGTTATTATATTATTTAGCATGATATATAAAATAATGGGCAGTGTAATAAGCAAAACGGGAACCCACTTGAAACCGTCTTAGTTTGGAAGCAACTTGAAGGCCACTCATTCTCTTGATATCCTATTGTGAAGAATCTGACTTTGTGGGACTTTTGGGGGTTTTGATGGCCCATTTTTCACACTTGCTTTTAAAAGAAAAGCCCCCTCCTTTGGGAACCACCGTGCTGTTTTTGCTTCCTCATTGTACTTTTCTTGAGAGCAACACTTTCACAGCCTTTAGTACTATATATATATTATGCATAACTGTTCTTAATTTGTGGATGGAGATCCATGTGCAACTTTCAAATAATAATATAAAAATTAATGAGGGTCTTTAATGAGAGAGGTGATATTTTTGTTCTTGGCCAACAATGCAAGGTTCCATGGTCCTTGAATTTGAACACATATATGGAACCGTGGCCACAAAGATTAGGATTAGATGGGATGGGAAAGACTTTTGAGGAAGGCATGGACCATTTAGCATGGTCACTGACCTTATCGTAAGCTACAAAAGAAGAAAATGTAGAAGGAAAGGTCTACGATTTGTGGTTGAGTGAGTGAGGAACCGTTTGGAGATTCTCCACACCTGTCGTGAGAAAGATCAAATCTTCTCATGTAAGTGGATTTGGTGGGCACAGAGAACAACGTAGGGGTCCATGTTTCTACCAAATGGAGGTTGAGGCTTGTGGGCTATATTGTTTCTTTGTCTTTCTCAAATTAACCAACAACTTCCAACATTTTGCTTCTTAATCACCGATTTGTCAACAAATGACAACCAATTTCTCAGTAACATTCCAAAATGTGTGTTCCGCTCTCATTTTCTATTGTCTCTGTTGTTCACGTCTAAGTCTAACCACGTTCGTGGGTCGGGAGAATTTGTAGCCATTAACTACCAAACAATCATCAAGGCTTTTCATACATACCACTAATCCTTCTTTCTATGTCTATTTTGTTTACCATTAAGAAAAGTTGTATTGAATCATCCAGAAAAAAGAAGAAACAAAGTGGTAAGTAATGTGATTTGGAGACAGATAAAAAAGTTAGAGTTGAACATCTGTCGGCTTGTGATCGGAACGGTGAATTGAGAATGAAAAAACTGATGACATTTTCAGTGTAATTCACAACTTTAGTACTGCTACGTCACAGTGACAAAGCTGGTACTTGAGGGCAAAGGTCTCCTACTTTATGTACGAAATGCACATTTTCTCAATTTCTATGCGTATAGTTTTAGTCCCACAATATTCAGACATATGCTAAAACTTTTGAACACGTCAAAAAATTTCAAAATATTATATAACGATTTAAATGGTTTCTTATAAAATCTTGATTATAATTTATATATTTAAACAAAGTATGTATAAGTTTTGATTATATTATAATTTATATAATAAAATATACATTTATTTATGTATAATGCATCACTTAAAAGTATTACTTATAGGAATTTTCTGAACTGAAGAAATTACTGTGGTTATAAAGTAAGTCTTCAACAAAGTTGGTAGATGAATATTCAGGAAAAGATAACGATACTTTGACAATATTTTAATATGTATCATTCTGTGATTGATTTAAAATTATTTCAGAATTGATAATAATAATCATAAACATCCATAGATCAATATCAAACTAGGAGGTGAAGGAAAATGATGAGGATGAAAATAGGTTCTGCTTACTGCAATTATTGATCAAGAACATAGGCTTCTCACCTCTTATATCACACTCACAGAAAAACCAAAATGACGCCAG